AAAAAAAGAATTCCCTGTTCATTTCCAAGTGAACCTCTAATAGAAGCCATATCTAATAGATGAACCACAAGCTCAAAATGCGAGAGAGAAGATTTGATGAATGTTGGATGCAGAAGAAGATGTGAGAGAAAGAGATGAAAATAGGATCCCAAAGGATTTTTTTAACACTTTACTACATATAACTAAAAAGCAGCAATGAGTTAAACTTTTCTGGTTGGGAGCTGAGAATTACTCTGATCTGAAATGGATATATGCAGTTTTGCAGTTAGTATTAAGCACTCAGTATATGACTGAAATTTCAGAGTAACCATCCATTAAAAAGCCAAGGCATTACTTACCAAGAAAAAAGAGATAACAAAAAGAGAAGACATCACACATCACTGAGAAGGTGTATTAAAAGGCATAACTTTGCCAGTCAGGGCTTGGAGAGCAGTATTCTACAACATAAAACATGGCAGCATTTCTGTATGGACTACAGAGAACTAACGCACGTTGTTGGAAAAGAATCTGATCTGATTTCTTTAGCACATTCAACCATACTTTTTATTTCAGAAATCAGAACATAAATACTGACAAGTGAACAAGAAATGACTGCTTTCTCAACTGGGCAAGATTTCTGTAGACATAATGCAAGGGTTTTAACCTGTGCACATTTGTTTTTGATCAAATTTTGTTTGAGGATGTGGTATGATGCAGTTGGATATTTGCCGTAGTACGTCAAAACGGTTGAAGAGGAGCTGTAAACCCTACAAGTGGTTTAGTATAAGAAAGAAAATTAGGCTTTAGGAACTTGACAGCACTGTCAGGTCAGAAAAAAAAGAATTCTGTAGTATACCCTCAGCAAGTTTGCCAACACCACCAAGCTGAGTAGAGTCAACAACATGCTGGAGGGTAGGGATGCCTTCCAGAGGGACCTTGACAGACTTGAGAGGTGGGTCTGTGTGAACCTTATCAAGTTCACCAAAGCCAAGCGTGAGGTCCTGCACATGGGTCAGGGCAATCCCAAGCACAAATACAGGGTGGGAGAAGAATGGATTGAGAGCAACTCTGCTGAGAAGGACTTAGAGGTACTGATGGATGAGAGGCTGGACATGAGCCAGCAATGTGCACCTGCAGGCCAGAAAGCCAGTCGTATCCTGGGCTGCATCAAGTGTGGTCTCTGGGTCAACGGAGGTGATTTGCCCTTCAACTCCACTCTCTTGAGACCCCACCTGGACTCCTTCATCCATCTCTGAGGCCCCCAGCATAAGAAGGATGTGGATCTGATGGAGTGAGTTCAGAGGAGGCCATGAGGATGATCAGAGGGATGGAACACCTCTCCTATGAGGAATGGCTGAGAGCTGGGGTTGTTCAGCTTGAAGAAAAGAAGGCTCTGGGGAGACTTTATTGCATCCTTCCTGGGTCTACAAGAAGACTGGAAAGGGACTTTTTACAATACCTTTAATAGGTATTAGGAAGAAATTCTTTACTGTGAGGGTGGTGAGGCACTAGAACAGGTTGTCCAGAGAAGCTGAGGCTGCCCCATCCCTGGAAGTGTTCAAGACCAGGTTGGATGGGGCTCTGAGTAACCTGGTCTAGTGCAAGGTGTCCCCCATAGCAGGGGTTTGGAACTATTCAGCTCACATTTCACAATTTATAAATTTTGCAGAAACACCACACAGATTAGGGAAACCATTTCAGTGTTTAAATGTTCTTACCCTTTTTTAAGTGACTAAAGTAATTAGTGGACATAGATATAACATCTCTAAAACTGAAGGTAATTACTGAAAATAAGGATGGAAACATTTGAGGCCAAAGCCATATTACAGCAGAAGCCCAATTCCTCAGCAGAGAAACTGCTGAGGGAGCCAGACCCTTCCCAGTGGTGCCTGGTGACAGGGCAAGAGCTGAACACAGGAAAACATTTCTTTACTCTGATGGTAATTGAATGCTGGTAGAGGCTGCCCAAAAAGGCTGTGGTGTCTCTATCCTTAAAGATATTCAAGTAGACCTGGTCCTGTTAGGAAACCTGCTCTGGCTGACCCTGCTTTAACAGGAAGGGTGGATTAGATGGTCTCAGGAGGTCCCTTCCAACCTCGACCACGCTGTGATTGTGTGATAGTGCCACTCAAGAGGGAGCCCAGGAGTAGGTACATCTGCAAAGCATCTTCACCACAATTTCAGTAGAAGGAAAATTATTTGGAATGAGTGATATCAAAATACAGGGATGGTACAATACCTAGAAATAGCTCTGCAGCAAGTGTTAATATCTTTTATGTCTGCTCTCTGTTTGGAGAATGGACCAACAGTGTAACACCACAAAATTCCTAGGACTAAGAGTTAGAATCTGTAAAATCTTGAGAGGCGATCATACAGCATGACTGACCATCTCCCAGCATGACTAATCTGGGAAAGAAAGATACAGTCTAGAATACTGCCTTTAAAAGCTGACTAGTTCCAATTTACCATGGGGTCTTTTTGCACTCCATCAGAAAGATGGGAAAGCTGTAATAGGGAATTTTATGAGATGGGTTATACTTCACTGAAACTGCTATAATTGCCACCCTTCATTTGAGAAAAATGTACAAGGCAAGAAACTCCTTACCTGTAAACTAGATCTTTCACCTAAACAAAGGCTTATGCTACTACTGAAAAGAAAGACACAGAATAGTAGGGATTTTCTAGATACTGTTCTGTGACACAGTTTGTGCCTGGCAGAGATCCACAGACCAGAGAAATGGCTTGGATGTGCTGTGTTCAGCGAAACTGTACATTACCCAATACAGAACACTAATTGAGCCTTGTTTGTTTAACTTGACTTTATCCTCCATGTTCTCTAATAACCTACCAGGTGTTATGTTCTTTCTTAGCCATATGGCTGAACTGGAGACAATCAGGTTAGGAGAACAACAAATCAGATTGTCTTGACTTGTATTCTTGAATTGGTTGGTCCTTACCAGTTTCTATGATTTCAAATGCAGTTCAATTAAATTTTACACAGCTGTGGTCTAAACAGTGACTAGGGATTTAGACTTAATGATTTAACCCTAAATTATTATTCTACGGTAGTAAGATCAATAGAAAAGTTAGGGTTTTCTTTTTCCTAATACAAAATTGTTCTAGTCTCCAAAATGCAGCTATTTTAGGATGGTATCAACATATCAACAGCCATACAGCTTGACAAATTACCCATCTGTCATGGCTGAGCTCTTTCTGGATGATCTCTGACAAACTCAACTATTTTGTAAATTTTTATTGTAGACAGTTACAAAAGACTTCCCTCGTTGGATTTGGTGCCCATCATGACAGATTATACTGTAGTTTAGCAAGATGGCCAATTTCATTAGAAATAAGTTCAAATTCCAGTTACAATTTTTAAAAAGCCTCAGAATCAAAAATTGCTAGTTTGAGCAATAATAGCTGAATTCAAGAGCTCCAGATTTCTTTTTTTCACTAAAAGGAATGGTATTGTCCTACCTTTCAGGATCCCTAAAATGTCTTGTGCTTTACAAAACAGAAAGATTGTTGAAGGAATTCTTAACAGTTGATGATGTAAAGTATACTGGAGTATGTTCTGTCTGTGGTTTGGCTTCTGATTTTACTGCACAACAACAAATTTAGGCTTCCAGGATCAAGGCCCAATGTACTTCAGTCCTGAAGACATTTACGAAATGGAGGTTTTTCTGACGCATCAGCCTGAAACTGATTTCAGCCCCTATAGTTATTAAAATAGCAGTAATTGTTATTCAGTAACAGATCCTCAAGACATGAGGAGAAGATATTATTGTCCAGCTGGCCAGGAAAAGCTGTCCAGCTGCCCTTTTAAGGCATCACTAAGTCCCTTTTGTACCTTTCTATGAAAGGAAGATCACCATATTTATTTACATAAAGTTACATAGATTTTAAATAAGGTACTATAAGTTATTACATTAATAGATGGTAATACAAAATACCTAAAATTGTATAAATTCTTCACTCAGTGTAGAAAATGTTTCTGAGTGGAGAACAATATACCAGCAACAACTAAATGCTCTGTATCATGGACCAAGTCATCTCTTTCCTTATAACTCTAATATTCATAGAACTACTAATAATAGCCATGGTTGGTTGTGAAAACTATTTCTATATCACAACTTCCTTTCACTTTGAAAGGACCCTCAAAAAGATTGCTACCTTCTTTTTGTAATAGGAAGAAAGTAGCATAGCTTTACACATCTTCCTTTTAGGAAAGCTCTTAGTTCCCTGTAGTCAACTTGTCAGTCTGTAGATGCCAAATTTTCAAGGTAGATGCTTGCTCATTAAGAATATTAATAAACTGGGGACCTTCTGCAAAATTACAAGAACTATCTCACAGCTCTACCTGCTTTTTTTTTCCTGCCTTTTTTTTTTTCTTCATGAAGCCACAAGAAATAGCTCTTAGACCCTGAGGTGTGTGTACCACTAGTTGAAAATCACTCCTCCACAAGGAAATGGAAGCTTAGAAACACAGTAATTTTCCAAACAGACTTAAAAGCATTGAGTCTGTTTATATCTATGTTTTCCTACCAGAAACATCAGATTCAGATGTAGCATTAATTTAGAAGCTGTTGGCAGGCCACCAAATGAGTAAAGTCCAGGGTGTCCTGTCAATTTCTAACAGAAGCCCATTACCAGTGAAGAACAATAGGGTGTTATTAAACTACCAAAAATTTCTGCACGTTCATTATTTAACTAAAACTTTGTTGTATCTTATTTAAACCATAGATGGATATAAAATCAATACTTGAATTGATTTCTGATCTAACTCCACTAAGTCAGATGAATTGCATCATATGAATTCAAACTGAATGACTTCAGATCACTCTGATGTTTAGTTAGAACCCTTAGTGCCTTTTAATGCATGGATATGTCAGCTGCTAATTACATGAAAAATCTAAATTGTTAAGTGCAAGCATCATGAGTGAATACCTCCCCTCTCCTCGGTAACGTCGGGTTAGCTTCTGTTCTCCTGTTTCTGGCATTTCTGCCTGCAGAACTCCTGCAAGTTCTTCCTCGAGGCGGTGACAGTACCGAGGCAAAAGGCTTCCCGACAGAGGATCCGTCTCACGCGAACAAGCCAAACTGCCTGTTCCACCCAGGAGAGGGCACTCTTACACCTGGCCACGCAACCGGACGTGGGCACCTACGGCAGGAACAGGAAAGTTAAGATGACAAAACTCGGTCAACTTGCACGACCAGTTAGTTATTTTTATAAATAAAGCTGATCTTCGCAATAAGTTGAGTCATCCAGATGCTGCTACAACAGGAACACACTGTGACAGACAATAAACGTGCGGACTAAATTTACTCGTAGTTTCTGAAATGTGCTGAATTATATGCCGCTAAAAAAGACAATTTCTGGCATGTAGGCCTCTCTGTTAAAAACTGGGATCATAAAAAGAAAGCTGTAGGTGTAACTTCAGTGGAAAAAGAGGGTTAAATTTAAAACTGACCTAGTTATATGAATATTACTTGTTGCTGATTTTTTTTAAAATAAAGCATTCCTATAAATGAGCATATGAACATTTAAATGCAAAGTGCATATAATCTAATACTAACATAGCCTTTAAAGTTAATACTCATATGGATAGCTCATTAAATAAATAAACTAAGAATTAAAAATGCTACAGATTCAATCTGTTTCTAAAGGAATTGAAATCAATATATATCTCTCTTTAGACAGCTCTCCTCTCCAATAAGAAATCCTCCAGCATTAATGAGAGAAGATCAAGCCTGATATTTTTGATTTTTCTAAACTAAAGCCAAGACGAGGAAGGGGGAAGTCTTGTTATGCAAGACATAAAACAGCAAAAGAGGAACAGAATGCTACATACTGGAAAGCTATCGTTTCAAGAACATAATTTTCTTGTAATCACAGGGAACAATCTCAATAATTCCAAATTCTCTAGGAGTAATTCTAATAGAAAAATATCCCATTGATATGAACAGAATAGAATTAGAAAAATATGGAAATGAGAAAAAGATCTCCAAGAATTTTAACTTGATGTACGTGTATTTAATAATACTTAGTGGTGTCATAAACATGTTGGAGTCCCCAGGCAGTACATGGGTTGTGGGGCACCCACAGTCTCAGAGAGATGAACCATGCGCATGGTGACTATTCGGATGTACAGCGAGCCCAACACGTGCAAACTGTGCATGAGCAACAACCAACAGTTTTCCATGACAAGCTGGGCAACTGTGTCCTATATATAGGTTGTGTGATAGACAATACTTCCCATATGACATGGGATATGATACAGGATACATCACTTAGGATGTTTGGTTATCCTAGCACTGGCTAATGAACATTGTCAGCCTTTCCCTACTGAGAACTTGGGTTGAGGCCTTACAACCACTGATCTTATGTTACAGGCACTGATCCTATTAACTTGGCTCCTGCAGTAATCTTACATAGTTTGAACTTCATTTATATACCATATCTCCTGCCCCCACTTCCAGAAGTACTTCAAAGCAATGTGCCAAACATAGTAAACAATACGGATACTCAGAATTGTATCTCCCTTTCTATAAGTTATGATCAACACCAATGGACAAAAGCATAGACCAATCTGCAGCTGGTTTGTGAAATTTGCTATTGAAAGAACTGTTTGGTTTTAGGCTGAATTGATGATAAGATCATTGAAAGAGCTATCTCCTGAAATCAGATATACTACATTTTATAATTCAAAATGTGAGCTGACTATGTTCAGTGGACTTCAGTTTTACATTTTATGTATGGATTTTTCTAAGGGCAAAAGACTAATGACAACTTAATTCAGGGGATGGACACAGGACTATATTATCAACATACCATAAAATATGCTATGGAGTCAGACATGGAAGTCACTGAAATCACACAAAGAGGGGATGTTATAATTTTTTCCCAAGCATTTTCTTATTTAACCAAAAAAACCCCAAAATAAAGAAAAAGCCCCAAACAAAAAAAAACCTAAACCAAACTAAAATAAAAACTCAACCCCCCTATTCTAAGACAGCTAATCTATGGTCCTGTTCTGTCCTAAGACCCTGTAGAGTCTTTTGTAAAATAGTAAACTATAATAAAGCATAAAATATAGGAGGTGTACAATGGTAACCCCAGCATGATGATTACATAAGGTACCGATTTTTATGTAATTTTGTTCCTGTCAAAACTCATCATTGCTCTGTTCTACCACCTAAAAAGCCTTCCTATATCTATCTTTCAGCAAGAGAAAATTAACACAGTATATAGAGACTATGAAACAGCTGTGAGATAAGTGAAAGATGTGTTTTAAGGACAGGAGAAAGGTATACTAAAGAAAAGAGATACAGTCTTTCATATTATTCATTCAGATTTCATTTTTGCAGTTACAGACTCTGACATTTGTAATCCAAATGAGCACATGAAAATGAACCTAGGTACAAACCAGGCAAAATCATTGCCCTTTACTATGGCCCTTACTAGATGTCTACTACCTACAACATACAAGCATACTCACAGGAACACAAAGGATTCTGACACTTGATAAAGGTCATGTTTTCCACTTCATTCAGTGCAAAATCTGAGCATCAGAAGCTCAGCTTCTTTGTATGAGCTGTCTGAAAATATGTAAGGCATTTAACCCAGAGATTTTATGTACTACTTTTATAATTTTTGTTTATAGTACTCATAGGAGCACAGCACACCATAAATTGAACTTTCATCTAAGAGCTCTAAGAGGGAGAAAAGAGTTATTACCCTTCTTTTACTGGTGAGACCCAGTGGCACAGAAAACCACAGCCTACCTGAACTTAAGACATCGGTGGGACTTAGATGTCTAAATTATTCTGAAGATGAAGGTCCAAGATCATACTGTTAGTCATTAAAAAGAAATCAGACCTACTGCAAAATGGTCCTTCTTAAAAAGGTACTGAAAACCTCATCTGAAAAACTGCATTGTATAATACATTTAAAACAAGTTTCAGTCTGAAGAAGACCTAATCTGATGAATGTCACTCATGGTAAAACATTTTTGCAGAAAAATTGACTTTTTCCAGTCAAACCACAGGGGAAGAGTAAACACACATAGAAAGGACTAGATGCTTCTGTACATTGTTGCCTTTTTTTTTTTTTTTTTTTTGGTTTGGCCTATACTTTCTTTACTGTGTATATAAAAGTCAAAATGCTATGTATACTTATGGAGATAAACAAACAGCACTTGCAGATGACAGCCATTCTAGAAGTAGACATTTGTTGAGATAAATGTCTGTGTCATACATTGTCCTGCAATGCACGGTTAAAAGGGGGCCCTGTAACTTGTTTCTATAAACCTTAATGTCTTGAAAGCCTCTAGTTCCTGAATAAACAACAGCTCTAAATGCAGTCTAATGTTCCCCTCTGAAAATCCATCTATGCCCTTGCATAGCATGCCTTACTTTACACAGCTCAGGCTAGCAGGGATGATTAGTATTATTTCAGACTCCAGAACAGAAGCAACATCTGTGGGTCCTCGTGTTTGCTTCTGCAATAAAAAGTAACAGTCCATTAGGCAGAGCAGACGTTCGGCTTTTACTCTACTTTCAAAATCTTGTAGCAGAATCCGTAAAAAGAAACAGTTCCTTACACTGTCCCCTCAGAGCTGCCCGTTCCTCGGCCTGCAAGTTACCCCCTTCCCGTGGGAGGCGACACCAGCGTCTCCAAGGGAAGGGCGAGGGTGGGAAGAGGGCAAGGCGCTGGTGCGGGAGCAGAAGGGATGGGAGCAGCTGTATGGGCCAGCTTGAGCAGATTCTCAAGGCACGCGAGACACCCCTGGTTCTTTTTGCTCGGGCGCTCCCCCAGCAAATATGCCAACTGCTCCTTGAGCCAGCTGTTTCCTCTGGGACACCTCAGACTTCTCCCCCGCTACCTCGGACCCGGCCCAGCCCTCCCGAGAGTGCTCCGTCACCCTTTCCCCGGCCGGTGTCTCGGGGTTCACCTGGCGGGGGCCGAGGGCCGGGCGGGAGCCGTGACAACACCACGGCCCCAGCTGTGCCGCGGGGCCCTCCCGCGGTGGTTCCTCCTCCCGCTCTCGCCGGGGCTCGCCCGGCCCGTGCCGGGAAGCGCGGCGCGAGCGGTCTGCGGGCAGGTATCGCCCCCCGGGGCGGGCGCCAGCGGGGTGGACCCCGCGCGTCCCCAGGTGGGCAGCGCACCCTTCCCCTCGGGGGCAGCGTGGAGGAGGCGGCCGAGAGAGCACCCGCCGCAGCCGCCCCGCCGGCACCGCCCGGCCCCAGCCCCGTCCCGTCCCGTCCCCGCCACCGCCCCGGTGCCGCTCCGGCCGCGCTCCCGCGGCCCCTCCTGAGGAGCAGCGGCAGCCCCACCGCGCATGCTCGGCGCGGGCGCCATTTTGGTGGGGCCGGGAGTTCTCCAGCGGAGCGGCGTTGGAGCTCGCTGGGCCCGGCGCGGAGGGGCGGCGAGGGGGTGCCCGCTGCGGAGATGGCCAACATCGCGGTGCAGAGGATCAAGCGGGAGTTCAAGGAGGTGCTGAAGAGCGAGGAGGTCAGAGCCTCTCCCCTCTCCTCCGGCGCGCCGCCGCCGCCACCCTCCCCCGTGTGAGCGTGGGCAGCGGGGGACGGTGCGGGTGCCCCGCCGGCCTGCGCGGGGACCCCGCTCCCCTCCCGGCCCCACCTCCCCGTGCCGGGGGTGGGCCCGTCCCGCGGCCTCAGGGAGGGGAACGGCGGTTCTCGGGGAGACGGGGCCCAGCGGCCGTTGGGAGCCGGCGGAGGGGGCCGTAGGAAGCGCGGCGGCGGGGCCCGAGGAGGCCGGGCGGGCCGGCCCCCAGCGAGGGCTGCCGGCGGCCGGTGCCTGGGAGCGCCGCCAGGCCGGGGCCGCGGGGCGGGGCCGGCCCGGCCTGCGGGGACCCCCGGCACGCGCCCTCCCGCGTCCGCCCGCGCGCCGCCGGCAGGGCCGGGAGCGGAGGGAGCATGGATGGATGGGTGGGTGGATGGATGGATGGGCTGGATTGGTGAGGACGAGGTGGGGGTATGTGACCCCACGCATCCCCCTCACTCTTCAGCTGACTCCTCTGGCCCACCAGTACCAGAGGCTGCCGGGGACGGGTTTAATGTTTGGGATTTTTCTGAACGGTTGCCATTAAAACCCCATGTATTTGGCTTGCCTGTATACAGAACTTCCTTTATCCCACTGCAGGCTTACTCACCTTCAGATGGATGCTTTTAAAGCTTCACTCATTATAGTCATTTTACCTCGTTTCCTGAACAGTGTGTTCGGGGGTATGTGGTGGTCAGGAAGAGAGGCTGACTACCTTCAGGGCGACAGGAAAGAAGTTCGGATCAGTCTGTGGGAATATATACCAGTGTTTGCAGGGTTATATCAATACAGGTTTTGCTGTGTCTGTGTCTGAGTTAGTGGACGTCAGCCAGATAGGTTTTAGTGGTTGTGTCGTCATTGTCCTACTTGGGATGATGTTGCAGGTTAGATGCTTGTGAAATATTAATGTGAATATGTAACTCTTAAAGATGGTGTTTTAGAAATCTGGATGTATTCACAGAGGAAAAATTGAGGGGATAATTTTGAAAGGTACTAATGTCTTAACAAAAAACATGCTAGGGTAGCAGTAGTTGATGTGCTTTTAAATTGTGTTCTAACAGCATTGTTGCTATGCAGCTTGAACTAGCACCTAGAAAAATGTAAGGGCCTTGTTTTACAGCTGCCTTCACAGCCCAGGCTGATTTTGCCAAGCTATTGGACTGCAAATACAGAATTGCGTATAGACTTAAGAGAAATTTCTAGGTGGATACCTTTATACCAAAGCTAGAAAATCTGGACCTCATACCCCATATAACCAGCTGATACTGTGGAAACAAAGAAGTCTCTATTTGGAAGTGCTGTGTAGAGGCTTCAAGACCCTTTTTCTTTGGTTTATGTAGAAAAAAAAAAGAAGCCTTAACTGAAATAGGTTTTAGGGGAGGTCCATGCTGAATTTTCTTACTGTAAATTTTGCATTTAGTGTGTGCATTTTTCATTATTCCTCTTTGTTTAGTCTGTGCATTGAAGGTCCTAGGACTGAATTTTGGAAATGAATACTATTATGAAATAGTCCTTAAGCTGCCTAAAGCTTCTCAGAAATAAGACCATAATTCTTATAAAACTCAATTTATGGAATTTAAAAATTATGGTACAGAAGACTCTGATATTTCTTCTTTTTTTCTGCCACTAGCAAGGTACACATGAGTGTTACACTGATATAGCAGTATGTATAAAACTGCTGTTTACAGACTATACTAGCTCCCCTGTCTTGAATGCAAAATTCAGCATTACTCAGTGGTTATCAAAGTTGCAAGCAAAGGTTTTTTGTGAACATTTGTATATTCCAAGGCAGTCAAACCATGGTGTCAGTATCACTTTTCACTGAGTGTGAAAATACATGGAGTGAGACAGTGAATGAAAGTCCAGCTAAATACTACAAATCACAAAAGAACAAAAAAGGTTTTCTTTCTATGTACTAAAATTATTATTAGTCCTTGTTTCTTTAAAAAAGAAAAAGAAAACTTTTTATTAAATACTGATGCTAAATTTGTTATTTAGAAGTTTTTAAGTCCCCCTCTGAAGGCAAAGTGGCTCACATTACCTGTACCTAATTTATTCTTGCTTTAATGCTTTGAGCTACACTTGAACTTGAAGAGCAGCCCCCTCCCCCATTTCCTTGTAGATGCAGTAAGAGCACAAATGCCTGGGGGAGGGGGCAGGCACACTGGGAAAAAGTACAAGGAAGTTTGTTCTCTGTCTTATTCCAGTACTTGCCTTTGAGCTGAAATAGAGTGGTGGAACCAGAAATGTTTTTAAAAGGGAACAGCTGGATGGCAGTTAAGTCATTCTGCATTTGAAGTATATATTGGAAGCACTAAATTCCACTTCTAAATATCGATGAAGGTATTTACCCATAGGAATAATAAACACACACTTTTCAGAATTAAAGAATTCTGAAAAGTGTGTGTTTATCCTTGCTATGGATAAGGATCTATGAATCCTCACTACTTGTAGGACTAAATATACTTTTCATATTACTTAGCACTTTGTTTCCTTGATTTAAATGTCATTTCTGGGAAATCACTAAAATATGAAATATTATCTTGCTCTTTGGTTTACAGATAAGAGATGAAGGATGTTTAATTTTTTGTAAGTTGAGTTTGAGGCTTCTTTAGTGTTTGTAAAGATATTTTAAGTATTTTCACACCTAAGCAAGAGAAGTATTTTTGTTCTACTTGCTTTATTATTTCTACTTTTATCATAAACCCTACCCATTAACTTAATAAGTAGTGTATTGTGTATTTAAGAGACATCCCTGCAACTTTGCATTACTTAAATATTTGAATTAAATAGATGAATCCAACAATAGTTTCTTTATCAGGGGTGCTCTCCAAGGTATGATTTTAATAACACTTTTTACTTTTGTGTGTGAAGAAACCTTTACAGTTCTAAGGTAGATAAGGTACTGTGTATCTCTAACAAAGATGAAGCTGTTAAGTTAGTCTAGGAACTAACTTGACTGGTTAAATATGTGTACTATACTGTATTATGCTAAGCTTGTGTTAAAATTCTAAAATGAGTAGACAGTCCATTAAATCAGATCATGCTCCAAGTTCTAGTCTAGGCAAGGGGTCAGTTGTTCACCTTTACCTCTTTCTTTGTCCTGTTGCTTCATTAATCTGATATCTTTTTGATTTTATGGGCTGAAATTTTAAAGCCACAAAATGTGTTTGGAATAGAAATATGAAGCTGCAGCGTGATGGAGGAACCAAAAAATAGGTGGAAGAATAGCATCTCACTTTTAGTAAGTAGTAAAAAGTTTCAGTGAAGGTTAGCTGGTATTATTTTAAAATAGTTACTGGAATGCTGCATTGGCTAGCCAGATCCTTACCTGCTCTCTGTTTATAAGCAGCTGTCATATGAGAGGGAATTCTCGTCATTATTAAATGACAACCATGTTGAAAAATCTTGTGGTCACTTAAAGACTGATGCTGAGATGTGTTGTAGTTCATCAGGTATGTTAAACATTATGTGTGACTTGTTTTCATATTTTAATAGAGCATCAGTGTTACACTTTAAAAAATTATGCTGTGCTAGCATTGAATGATTCAATGTTTAATTGGCCATCCACTTTCTTTTATCATGTGGAAATGTCAGGTATTTTCTAACCACCTGTAAGTCAGAGACTACTTGACACCTTTTACAGCGAAACCTCTGCTCTGATATGGAAAGTAACACACTGGGAAGCATAGCTTCCTCCTAGCAAGAAGAGAATTGCTGGTGTATGTGAAATGTTCTCTTACAGATACGAAGAGGCAGACATTTATGGGAGGTAATCCCAGGTAAAGCTTAGAATAAATGAAACTCAGCTGCAGTTATGCAATACGAATATCTGCATAAACAGATCCATGAAGGTGCAGATGAAATTTGTAACTTGGTTGAACTCAAAGTAGCATTCAAGCAGAGACAGTAGGTTAATGACAAAAATTTGAAGTACTTAATTTCCAAGAAGGAAGTGGGTATTTGTTTTGGAGTCTGCTGTGTGTTTTAGTGATTTACAGGAGAAGTAAGAGTAGTCTGCCATACTGTATCCCTTCTTAGACTTTTAAAGATCTAGTGAGTACCTCTGGTGTTGCCTTTTATCATGGCCTATAGCAATCTTGTGATTTATGTCAGTTTATAGTAAGATACTAAGTGGCATCTCTGAAATTTTCTTGCTTTTTGGAAAAGCCTTAGGTACTTAATCTTCAGGCTCAGAAAAACTCCATTACTTTGGTTTGTTTATATTTGGGCAGTCCTGGGTGCTAGATACTGAATTCACTAAGATGGAAACTTTTAGCAGTATTTGTGCTTTAGTGTTAACAGAAGAATTCTTGGTTTTCCTCCTATTTATCATGTAGAATCAATTCAGATATATAAGAATGAGATGTCTTCTATGCTGGTTCCTGAGCCGTGTTTTAAATAGTATCCATTTTATTCTGATACATATGCTTAACTTTTGGTTTGTAAGAATACTCACGTTGAAGTCAATAGAGGTTTAGTGAGCGCAGTGGAATTTTTGTCCTGGTTTAATCCCAGTGGGCAAGTGAGTATCGTGCAGCTGCTGATCAGATGCCCTACTCCCCATGATGGAATGGGAAGGAGAACTGGAAAAAGGTAAAACCCACGTGTTGAGATAAGGACAGTTTAATGATTGAAATAAAGTAAAATATTTTAGTAATGGTAATGAAAAGGGAGATTACAAAAAGAGAGAGGGGAATAAAACCAGGGAAAGATGGGATGCACAGTGGATTGCTCACTGCTTGCTCACCTATACCCAGCCCATCCTTGAGCAGCAACCAACCAACCCCCCGAGCCCATATACCGAGTGTGACATTCTGTGGTACGGAATATACCTTTGGCCAGTCAGATCAGTTCAGGTCAGCTGTCCTGGCCGTGTTCCCTCCAAGCTTCTTTT